TTGATCAACTAAAGAAATTAGAAAGTCAAATAGACATTTTACTATACCTTTGGTTACCATAACTGTATATCTACCTCTGTTTCTACTTTCAGGAGATGGATTACTTCTGCCATTCTGAGTTTACAGAGTCGTTGGCAAACCGGTGCCAAAAGGTGTTAAAGCTCTCTCGACCAGGGCTTTCTCGTCCTCTTTGGCAGATACTTCTACAGAAGAAATTTGTAGGACTTCAGCCAGGTCATCTTTCAACACTTTAGTGAGGCACTATCGCCTTTTTTCAGGCTCATCTGCAGCCTCATTTGGAAGAAATGTCCTTACTTCCGCAACTAACTTTTGATTAAACATTGATGGTGTAATTGTTTTTTGTTTGTTTTTATAACCCACCCTTTACTTTTGCTTGGGAATTCCCATAGGTGATGCTGACATGGATTGGGGAGGAAAAATTGTAAAATTGTTACAATACTTTTGTAATTTTCTTTTCCTGGCCAATATATATGTTAACATCAACGTACCCTCCCTTTTTGTGGACTGAAATGGTTATGAGATTGCTTAATCTGAGGAGATGGATTCCTTATATACCATTATTTGAAATTTAGATTGCTGTCCTATGAGCTGAGAGGGAGGAGACAACCCAAAGGGGATGCTGACATGTATATTGGCCTGGAAAAGAAAATTACGGTAAGTATTGTAACAATTTTCTGTTATATTTTCACGGTGGAAGGTTGAGTGTCTCATCAAGTGCCCACTGATGTTTTCCCTTATTCTTTGGAAAAATTCCCTTTTTTCAACTTAAAATGACTATGGTTGCAGCTGCCACCCATTATTCATTATTACAAAATTGCAAAGGAAAACGTTACTGTAGCGGAATCTAGTAGACTTGTGCATACATCCTTTTCACCTTTGACGAACGAATCAAACACCTGTTAATCTTGGCCGACCAAATCAATTCCTCTGAGATTTATCTTACTGATCGATTTGTTCAGGTAAGAATATGACAGGAATTTGATTCATTCATCAAAGGTGAAAAGGATTTGTGCATAAAATTGGCATATATTTTTGTTTGATTTTATTGAAAGCTAATGCTATTAGAAAATATGAAAGGTTTGTATATTTTTATTTCTAATTTTATGGTGTGTATTTATAATTGTTTATTCTTTTTCATTTTATCAAAAACGCACCTTACCCTATTCTTTTATGTGTCTTCTATTCATAAAATACTTGTGTGTTTTGCTTACCCATTATACACGCTGCCTAAACTGTTACTGCTTTATAAATAAACAAGTTATTATATTGGAGATAAATGTGCAAAGAAATTACCCTAGCAGAATTATATACATCTGTATCATAAAAAGTTAGTTGATCCTACCTGGAGATAGTATGACTGCAATGGTGTGTTTCTTTCAATTGTGCCTGAAACAATATATCTCAGGAAATGTTCCCTTAATTCTAAACAGAAGTTAACACAGCACAGCTGCAGATTTGTTATTTTCTTAAAAGCAATCAGACAGCATTGTCTAGGTTTTGCTGGTGGTCAGTAGCAGACTTCAACATGTCCTATTTTTATGATTTATTTTTTTTTAAATTTAACGTATATTTAAACATTGTTTTCAACATTATGCATATCATTTTGCTTTTATGTAAACGTGTCCCTTTCCTTTAACTCTTTCACTCCAGACAGGTGCTTAACCCCTTAACAACATTAGGGAGTGTTATGCCGTCCGAAAAAAAAAAGGCTTCAACTTTGTTGAAACGACATAGCACGACCTAAAGATCTTGCCCTCCCAAGATTTGACAAAATTCTGACATGGGACTGAAATGTCGACTAACACTATGACACAATAAAGAATTATTACATAAATATACACATAAAATTAAATTTTTTAAATGTAAAAGACAAGAAACAAAATACTGCAATGGTAGTGAATGAGGCAATACCAAGTGAATATAACATGAGGAAAAATGTGAGAAGATAGATAAATACCAAGGATATGTGGAAAGTGAAGGCAGTAGTAGTCTCATTGTGATAGGAGCACCCGGGGCTGTTCCTCCAAGTTGGGGGAGTGACTTCAACAGATTCCAGGTGGAACATCTGAGATAGCTGTCCAGAAGAGTGCAGTTCTAGGAACAGTTTGTTCCTCAAGTTAGTATTAGTAAAGTTATTTTTTTAAAGTTTAGTAATTATTTTATAATTATTTTATAATTTATAATTATTTTATTGAAGAAATTATTTTCTTTTTGTAACATGTTTGTTAATCTAGCCACTTTAAGTTTTAAGTGTCTATAAAATCTACATCTAGAACAAACACACGCCTGCATTTAATATATGTATCTGCAAGTGTGTGTGTGTGGGTGATTAAAAAATTAACATTCTTGAACAAAGATAAACAGTAAAATATTCAATGAATGGTGAAACTGCTCCTTTCATTAGTTTCTGCAGCCAATAATTGAATTGTTATACATGCAATTTTATTATGTTTGTTTCAGGGATCTGCTAGATTATTTTTCCTGTTCAAATGGCTGAATGTTACCACACATGAAAGTTTATAACAGTCAATTAAAATTTATTTGACAAGGTACAAAAGTAACAAAAGGGTAAGAAAGGAAAAGATAATATAATAAAGAAATACAATAATTCCAAAGATTATTTTACAATACAACTGTGAGTTACATTGATAGAAGCATAGAAACATAGAATGTGACGGCAGATAAGAACCATTCGGCCCATCTAGTCTGCCCAATTTTCTAAATACTTTCATTAGTCCCTGGCCTTATCTTATAGTTAGGATAGCCTTATGCCTATCCCACGCATGCTTAAACTCCTTTACTGTGTTAACCTCTACCACTTAAGCTGGAAGGCTATTCCATGCATCCACTAACCTCTCAGTAAAGTAATACTTCCTGATATTATTTTTAAACCTTTGCCCCTCTAATTTAAGGCTATGTCCTCTTGTTGTGGTAGTTTTCTTCTTTTAACCCCTTAAGGACACATGGCATGTGTGACATGTCATGATTTCCTTTTATTCCAGAAGTTTGGTCCTTAAGGGGTTAAATATAGTCTCCTCATTTACTGTGTTGATTCGCTTTATGTATTTAAATGTTTCCATCATATGCCCCCTGTCTTGTCTTTTCTTCCAAGCTTTGGGGGGCATTGGATCCCTCCCCATTTATTTTAATTATAACCCCCACCAGCAGACCATGGATGGGGGCTATAATGTCCCCATGTTATTTAATAGCCCCCACATGTAGGGGCATGCCACCCCCCACCTTTTAATTTATGAAGACCCCACAAGATGGCCATGGGTAGGGGTTGGGGGTGGACATTGATCTGTACACCCCAATATTTATTTAAAGCTTCCACCCAATGACCATTGGTAGGGGCACTGAATGATTTGTAACAAACCCTTGCTGTACTTCACTAGTGACTGGTCTGCACCAGTTGCTAGTCTTTTATGACAGCATGTATATACCAATTTATGTCCCTTATTCTAATGTGAGAGTCATATGGACTATCATAGGTTTTTTTGTACCTATTTAACAAAATAAATGAAATAATTATCAAAAATATTATGTTATCAGATGAGGGCTGGCAAGGGAGCCCAATGCTAAATATATTATGCAAGTTTATGCTTTTATTATTACTGTATTCCAGTTATTGGAATACTAGCATAAAACAATTAAAATAAAATTTAGAAAGGAAGTAGCAGTTGATAATCTAATGATTTGGCATCAATTTGTTTGCAGTTGCTCCACCTGACCACATGTTGTCAGCCCTTCTCTGAGTATTATATGTAGTATATATGTTTACAATTACAACTAGTGAAAAATGAAAAGAAAAATTGACAGAAAGTAAGCACTTTATAATAAAATGTTTAGTCAAAATGCAATAGCTTTGGCAAACACATTTGTATTGTTATAAAGTAGTACACATAAATATGTGCTGGAGTGGATGTTGAAAGTTTAGACTTGGATATAGTCCATGGAAGGCTGATATCCAAATTAAAGGACCACTATAGGCACCCAGACCACTTCAGCTTAATGAAGTGGCCTGGGTGTTAGGTCCAGCTAGGATTAACCCTTTCTTCTATAAACATAGCAGTTTCAGAGAAACTGCTATGTTTATAATAGGGTTAATCCAGCCTCTAGTGGCTGTCTCATTGTGATTTTCACAGTGAGAAGATGCCAGCATCCATAGGAAAGCATTGAGAATGCTTTCCTATTGACTGGCTGAATGCACGCGCGTCTCGTGCTGCGCATGTGCATTCAGCCGATGACGATGAGAAGGAGGAGGAGAGGAGGAGGAGAGTCCCCTGCCCGGCGCCCTAGGGCACTATAGTGCCAGGAAAACAAAAATTCCATACAGAACATGCGTACTAGAGTTGAGCAGACACCTGGATGTTCAGGACCGGCGGGTTCGGCCGAACTTTGAAAAAAAGTCCGGGTTCGGGCTCAAACTTGACCCTGAACCCGAACCCCATTGAAGTCAATGGGGACCCGAACTTTTGGCCACAAAAATGCCTCTAAAAAACTCCTGGAAAGGGCTAGAGAGTTGAAAAAGGAAGTAAAATGGGGGTAAGAGTAGGACAAGTGCCCTGCAAACAAAGGTGGATAGGGAAATCACTTAAAATAACATAAAAATAAAAAATACAGCTGAGCCATAAAATAGCACTAGTTTGAATCTTTGATTTTAGCTTCGGAAGAATATAAAGCAAAATCTAAAGCATGGCTGTCAGGAGGATCACCAGAATTATCCATTTGAGAGAGGGTTGGAGTGCAGGCTATTTTCTTTCATTGTTCAAACTGAGCTCAACTCCTGATGCATGGAGAAAAGGCCTTCACAAGCCTCTGCTAATGTGTACCTAGTTTATACTAAGTGACCCATAGGTTGAGGAGGCGGTGACCGTGGCGGTGGAGGAGGAGGATGAGGTAGCCAACACTGTTTTATATATATATATATATATATATATATATATATATATATATATTTTAATTGGGGTAGCCCCCAAAATATTGGGACATATAAAAAAAGTCAACTCTGTTCCGCAGAGTAGCTGTTGGCATTATAGTTGCGCAAGCACTTTGTTGACTCTAGAGAACCTCGGGCCAATCGCACATCCCCATGGTGGCTACTTTGCATGCGGATGTCATCCATATCAACTTTAGATGCCAGTTTCTGCGCCTTCCATGGTGATCACGGGTAACGGGGAATCAGGGTTCCATTCCGTAAAGGCTACCACATGCAAGGAAGGCAGCAGGCGTGCAAATGACCCACTCCCGATGCGGGAAGGTAATGACGACAAATAACAATACAGGACTCTTTAGAGGCCCTGTAATTGTAATGAGTCCACTTGAAATCCTTTAACTCTGATCAATTGGAGGGAAGTCTGGTGCAGAGCCCAGACCTGTGCGTACTGCAGCTGAAACTACACTATCGCCTGCTGCTGCTCGCACAGTCTAATGAGGTGGTGAGCCGGAAGGCCGAAGTTACGCTGCAGCACAGACAGGCGAGCAGCAGCAGGATGACAATGCCAAAAGCACGAACAGCTGCTACAGTGAATGTCACATCCTGTTCCAAGTTGCGGATCAGTCTGGTGATGGCTTCTGGTATTAAGTACTCTTTTTACTGAAGCTGCATTAGGGTCCTGGTATGTGGCCGCACAAACGCTGGTGCTCAACACCAGGGGGCGTGCGGTTACCCTGCACCAGACCCTGCTAATCCATTCCACACTGTGACTCCTAACTTCAACATCAGGCATACTGGATCCCGGTCGTCCGACTGCCGCCACGACAGTGTCTGGGTCCTGGTCACCGGACTGCCCACCTCACTGTGAAACTACCAATGGATTGTTAAATCTGGTACGAACCCGGACTTTGCAATTCAGGTTTGCTCAATTCTATTATGGATCCTTTGATCGCTACATGTATTACTTGGATAACTGGTAATTCTCAAGCTAATACATGCTGATGAGCGCTAGGGAACGGCCGCTCCGTTTTTGCACCCTGCTCTTTCTTATGCTGTGCTGGTGCCTCTGTGCGACCAGCACCTCTTCCTCCAAACTGCACACGTCACTCGCATGACCTTGATTCCATGTGGGGTCTAGGACCTCATCATCCTCCACATCATCTTCCACGCACTCCTCAACCCTGCCCTCCTTGCCTGTATGCACACTGCAGAAAGCCACAGCAGTTGGCACCTGTGTTTTTCCAGCATGTAAAGTCTGCAAAGGACATATGGAAATTGTTTTAGAATTTCCTACAGGCAACAGTTTTCCCTATAAACTGACCTCTCAGTTTGACTTGTGAGGGTATTGCCCCAGATTTTCAATATTGTTGAAGTACCTCTTAGCTATTGATCACTGGCTTAAATATAGCAGCTTGTTATCTCGTAGTTTCTAGTGTAGAAGATATCAGTCTGTTTTCTATCACTTAGATCCGTGTAACAAGTGTTGTAGGTGTGAAACAATATTACAAGTGACCGATGTAGTAAATTTGAATTAAAGTTCCATTTGCAAAAATAATTCTCGCCCATCTTCTGTGGGTTATTGCATTTTTAAGATGTAGACTTATTGTATCACACTAGCCATGCACAGGTAGATTGTCTGGCACGTTGTTTTGGTGTTTGGTTTTTAACTTTGTAGTTGTGTCTTTACACATTATAGAAATGTATATTAATGCTTCTGTATATGAAGCGATCACAATAACACTTATTTTTCACTTAAAAAAAAAAATGGGCTACACAAAAATTGGTAATTCACAATATGACATCTCAAAAGCACATGAAAGGATGCTGTATGATTTTTAAAAAAAAAGAACATACTACATGAAGGTCATGTTCACTACAGTGTGTAGTCATGAATGTAACCAGTAAAACTTTGTTGTTTACAACCATTGGTTGGCCCATACATATTTTAAAACGTGTTTAATTTTGTTGTAGCATGACTTGTAGAAGAGCAGGCCCCAAAATGTACTATTTAGCAGATTAGCACCCAGAAAATTTGATTTTTTACAAGTGCGCTGTAAGCACACTATTAGACGCTTCTATTTGACTCTCAGATATTAAGTGCACCACATTAAAATACTATTTAGCAGTTTAGCACCCAAAAAAATTTAAGTTTTAAAACTTCAATGTGACAGCAGTATTTGACGCTTCTATTTGACTCTCACATATGAAGTGCACCGCAGGCCACAAATGTACTATTTAGCAGATTAGCATGCAGAAAATAAGAATGTTTACCACTGTGCTGAAAGCACAGTATTAGACGCTTCGATTTGACTCTCAGATATGAAGTGCAGTCCGCAAATGTACTATTTAGCAGATTAGCACCAAAACAATTAGAATGTAGTGATGTCGCGAACCGTTCGCGAACTTGCCGCGAACGGTTCACCGCGGTTCGCCACGAACCGTTCGCGGCGAACTCCGGTCAACTGACACATCCCTGCCAATCTCCGGCAGACTCTCCCTCCCAGACCCTCCCACGTCCTGGACAGCATCCATGTTGAACCCCAAAAAAGTATTGTACCACGGCCCTCTCTATTTTAGTTCTGCCACTGTTGCTCATAACCACTACAGTATGGACAGTATTGTCTTCTCTTGATTCTCCTGTTTTTTAATTTATGTATTTTCTTTTTTTCTTCACTGGATTCTTTAATAGTGTGTAGGTATCTCTGCTGATGATTTAAAAATTCCATATTATTTAAAAATGTAATCATTTGATACAGGGATATTGTAGACTAAATAGTTTAAAAATACTGAGTAACATAATTACCTGGCACACTGCTTTAAATGTGTTACACAAATAGCTGCTATTAACGAGTTAAATAAATAAAGGCTATTTTATATATAAAAAAATGTAGACTTTTACAGGCATTTTCACATTACAGTGCTGAGGATGCCTCCCATCCTGCCCAATCTCCTTCTTAACTCTGGATCCCCTTTATAGCTCTGCCTCCTCTACTCTCGTTAGTGATACGAACATGATTGCATTATCACGTTGACGATGTGCACGCACGTTTGGGTATCACATGGGCAGAACTGACCAATCACTGACCTCCTAGAACTATATAAACTCATTTCACCTTTACTTTTAGGCCATGTTCTGGTTTCCATTTACTAATTATCTGAGGGTGCATTTATGTATTATTTATAGGCTTTTCTGACCTTGTTTTTGTCTATTCTTGTTTCTATTATCCTTCAATATTTGCTTGTCTTATCATATTTGTCTCCATCTGTATCCTTGACCTTAGCTTACCTCAGAATATTTTTGTAATGGCATTAAACCACCGTTTAGTAGATCTTCCCTTCCAGAGCCACAGGCACAGCTACTGCAGAACACAAGACTCTCGAACTGAATACAAGGGAATGCTCCAAACTCCCGAACTGCATACAAGGGAATGCTCCAAACTCCCGAACTGCATATAAGGGAATGCTTCAAACTCCCGAACTGCATACAAAGTAGCAATCCAAACTCCCGAACTGGAACCTCATGAATAGCTGCTAGCAGACGAACAGGAAAAGCACCCAAGCGGCTTACACTCCTGGCAATCAGTCTCTAACAGCATACAGTAAATCCCCCCAAAGTTGACAGACAGAGCTCCGTGTTGAGGGTCAAGCAGTGGTCTGGTTTATTGAGGGCTACCTGCCCAGTATTTTCTGCAGGTCTCCCACCTGGTGGACACTCCCCTAGGGGACCAAATGGGAGACTGTGACAAAGGACAGACATGAACCAATGACAGACACACAGAGGTAAAACATCCCCACAATGCATCCTAATTTCCCTCCCTCTGTCCTGGAGATAATTGGGAAGTAATCCAATTATCTCCCAGGACAGATGCAAAACTCCATTAACCACATGGCAGTAAAAGACATAAAAATGTATAAAGTTACAACTGTTACACAAAACATATACATTCTACCTATCCCCAGATAGCTTAGATCTGAGCGCACATTACTACTGGATGGCGCTCAGATCACATACATACAGTTCAATCGCCATGGAGCCAAAGTCTTTCCCATAGCCTTTCGTTACACGAATAGGCTCCATAGCATGGCTATCTGGGGTAATGCTGTTCATACGGTTAAACTACCGAATGAAAATGCATCCGGTTAAATGACCGAATGCAGACGCAAGGAGGCTGACGGCTCAGGGGTGTTCGCGCAAATAAGTGTCCGTTTCCAGTTCCATAGTTTGGGCGCTGAACACCGCTGGCCGTTCGGGACTTTAAAATGGCCGCCGTCACGTGTTCGGCAAATGAACAAAGACGACCCAGCATTCGTCAATTAAGCCGCGGTTAACCGCAGCTTCTGGGAGGTAAATTGTCGACACACTCCCAATACAGGTGGTCCAGTCATTCGGTTGTTTGGTAGATTGAATCTACCGAACGCTGGGCAGAAAGGCATGAACAAGCCTTTTCTGCAGGGGAAAAGAAGGCTTTTTAACGTGGGGCCATAATCCAAGGGCAACATTCGAGCAACCAGGCTTCTTCAATGCTTCGTGGCGAGGTTGGTTTCGCCACAATTTTATTAGGTGTTAAGTCTGGCCACTCTGTTGATACTTAATTTACTAACTTAAGCACTGCATGATGCATCATAATATACCTTGATAGTTTCCCATATGTACCAGTGAGTCTTGAGCACCCATGATCCTTATGCCCGTTTACTGCTTGTCCTTCCTTGCACCACTTTTGGTAGGTACTAACACTGCATAACAGAAACTCCCCACAAGACTTTCCATTTTTGAGATGCTCTGACCCAGTCATCTAGACATCACTATTTCGCAGTGTCACAGATTTTTTCGCTTGCCCATTTCACTGCTTTCAACACATTGAATTCAAGAACTGACTGTTCACTTACTGCCTAATATATCCCACTCCTTGACACGGGCCTTTGCAACAATATAATTATTATTATTGGCTTTTATATAGCACCAACTTGTTATGCAGAGCTTTACAATATTATAAAAGGGTAACATTTAACAATAAATGAAACAATTACAAAATGTCACAGGAACAACAGGCTGATGAGCACCCTGCTCAAACGAGTTTACAGTCTAGAGGAGGTGAGGCATAAAAAACACAACTGGAAGGTCACCAAGGGGATAGCAAACAAACACGGTGGGAAGTTGCAGAACTGGAGGTGAGAGTGGAGTGTGGCTCTTTAGGAAAGAGCAATAAGACTTATACAATAGAAGTTACTCTGGGAGACCATAAGCTTTTCTGAAAAGATGGGTTTTGAGGGACTTCTTAAGCGATTGAAGACTAGGAAAGAGTCTGATGGGGGTAGGCAGATTGTACCAAA